TCCATCTGGGAGTATGAATTCAGCTTTGAAATGCAGGATATTTATATTAATATTTATTCAGTTGTTGGAATGCACAATTTATATTTTACATTTTGCGTTATATCCTAAACTATATACCATATATATAAAATTAATAATAAACTTCAACATATATTTAAAATTTTAGAAATTTTTGTAGTTATTATCAATTTAAATTAAATTTAAAATTTTAATTAACATTTTTTTTTAGTATTCTAATATTTTTAATTTTCATTAACTTCTATTCCATTTTTCTTTACTGTCTATTGATAACCACTCTTGTTAGTGTTTCTGGATTTGAAATAATTATTTGCTTCGCAGTACATTATTTAAATTCCTGCTCTTTGCAGTTGCCGAAAGATAATGGGAACGCTGGGGGCTCTTAGTTATCCTATGCGCGTGCTTACAAGTTAAGATCAAGCGATGCGAAGTCATAAATTAATATCATGGAAGCACCTTGCACAACTACATGGGACTGCACGTAATTCCGTGACTTATGTGGAGAGAATGCATACAGCGGAATCGCGCAACAAATGTGCAAACATGCAAATACCGGTATCACTTTCCTCGGTCTTTATGGCCTGCAATAGAAAGCAGAAGCAGCTTGGCGAAAACGAGATATTAGGAAACGGCAGTTTTTGCCGCTTCCTAAACCTGAGATTCAAGAATATACAGTTTTCCATAAACTCTGCCTTTCTATTTAAAACGCATGCAGCCAACACTTTCAAACAAATCTTTCACGTTGCAATTCAAATTAAATTTAACTTTAATTTTGACTTGTTTTTGTTTTTAATTCCTTTTTCTTTTAATTCTAATTAGTTATCTATCTAAGACAGATTTCTAACGAAATGATGAACTGATATATATTGTACATATAAAATCTTTTAATCGAGTATTATTTTGCTCGTTATCTGTAATGGATATACAATCCTGATAATTAATTAACACTTTGAATGCCTTGTACAGGTTTTTATAATCGATCTCGTGACGTCACACATTACCTATAACTATTTTTTATAAAATATAATTTTAAGTAAATTTTTTCATATTAAAATACATTTTTCAATAAAATATATTTTTAAATAAAAATCTTCAACAAAACTGATAAGTATCTCCACAATTCAGAATATATCATATAAAATCAATGCAAAGTATTCTCGGTTTATACACAAGATGGTAGTAAGGAAATGTGTGTCAACATTAGAATTGATGCGGCCTGAATCCACATAGGTGTGTATACAATTGGATATACATAACAGTTAAAGTATATTAATCCAGATTAATCTAACGACAAATAACTTTATCATACTATCTAGGGAAAAAGAATAATCTTTGAATTAAAGACACTTATCGAGGTCGTCGATCAAAAAAATTCGGTCGCACGCGTCTCTCCCTCGTCTCTTAACTTCGATAAAACTCAAAGCAAACTCGGACTTTGGAGTATGCTCGCAACGCGAAGCCCTAAGCTATAGTTCACCTCGTTTATGCGGAAGTCCGGCACCGGGTCGAAGCGATGAAGTTCCCACGCCATGGCTTGAAATCGAACCCGACCGCTATATCGAAAATAATCTTCGACCTTGCCGAGTGTGCCATCGCAATACGGACCTTACACGATAGATAATACACTGAAAGAAAAGATTGGCTGAATATGGCACAACATTTTTAATTGGTTGGAGCAGTCACTTTTTAATTGCGTTAGCCTGTCGAAATCCTATACTGACATTGTGAACCAAAAATTGGCTGCTGCAGCCAATTAAAAATGCTATGCCATATTTTATCTAAATCTAATTTGCTGCAGCAGCCAGTCTTTTCTTTCAGTGTACTGATCAGTAATATTAAATCAGTAAAACCGACATCAGTTCGTATCAGTATTTTTACAACTTTACACTATCAGTATTATTGACAATATTTCAGCTCAGTTTTATGTACATTACAGACCTCACAGTCAATAATACTAGTATCAACGAATACTGTCAATATTAACGATGATCCGAATTTCTTGATTCTTGAACGTCAGTATCGCTGTGGTCAAGGATGCTGACTCGAGAAAGAAAAAATCCGACGTCAATACTCTACATCAATTCATCAATGTCAATTACATACGATTAATAATTATATTGTTAGTATTTGTGGTGCTGACAGTATTACATTGTTTAAAAATAAAGTGTTAATTTTAACTTAAAAATATATAGTGACTTTTCTGAGACATGCAAAAATGTTAAAATGTCAATTTAAATCCACTGTACATCTTTTAAGTTAATTTATTAACATTTTATTTTCAACAATGCATTAAATAGGTAAGATTCCTATAAACCGTGTTAAACTTTTCCAACCACTGATACAATTTTCTCATCTATTCGTCTATATTGAGTGCAAATTGGATTAAATTATAGTGAGATCATTTCCTTTTTATTTTTAGAATCTTTTCTATGGTATTAGATCATGAATCATTCGTATATAGATCACAGGCACATAGACCACAATTTTTTTCATTTAAGATAAAATCTGGATTACCGTGGTAAGATTAGATGCCCCATTATGTTTAATAATTAACAAATAATTACCACACTTTAATTAAGAAAGAATTGCTCGAAACTCTATAAGTCTATTTTAGCATTTATAATATACAGTATAAAATAAATACTTAAATTAACATATAAATATCTGCAAGTATTCTTTCAGAACAAAGTTTCATATATAAGTTTTATAATAACCGACTTCCTTCGCTACTCGGCGAAATTGAGACTTTACTATAACTTGGACAAGCGTATTTTTACGCACATATAAAATCATGTACAGAATATACGCGTCGTTATGTTTGTAATGAAATGTCACGTCTGTAATGAAGTTTCATACACAATCGAGTATAGTCATGTCAAATCAGAAAATATAATAATATTGTTATACGTAAATCTTTCTACTTAGAAAAAATTTTTTTAAGAAAAAAACCCAAAATTATGAATTTCAAAAATTGTCTTTTTTCCATGTTTTTTCTACACTCTTTCTCTTGACTTCATTCCACGTAGGTATTTATCGAGTTAACTTTATGGTCTGCTTCTCGAAAACATTAACCGCTAACATGTGTATTTTACAAACTATTCAGCGTACAAATAATGTTTCATTTAAAGACCTTTCGCAATCATCGTCAATTTACGCATAAACTCTTAATAAGTTGACTGCAAATATCACAAGATATTTTATTGACGATTAATAAAATGCAAATTAAACAGCGCTGTAGAAGAGTAAATACGACTAAAATACGAATAAATACGTCGAAAAATGATTTTTTAGCGCATTACTCTGCGCATAAAAACATAGAATACAGTTTACGAAACTTATAAAACACTGTGTACTACATGCGAGGTCATTATTTAGACGACTCATCAATCGTTATTAAACCAATTCTGCAATTAGCAACGCAAACAACAAAGTTTTAACACGTAAGAGAATTTCTAAATACGCCACAAATATTTGTCAAAGTAATTTCAGTGAGAAATGCAACGCAACAAATGTTCAAAATTTTAGGAAACGGTGCGTCCTGTAAATGAATATATGGCATGTCTGACCTTTATTTGACTATATCTACTTGGCAGTAGAGAACACTGTCTCAAAGGATCATTCACAGTTTTTACACAAACATTAGTTGCATTATAAATTATGCAAACTATTTATTTAGATCGTGTAAATTACTTCAAAAATTTTACATATATATGTATACATATCGCTTTCTTGTTTCAAAAACGATAATTTAAAAAATGAAATTTCTTAGAAAGGGACAAAACCATTTTTCAACTCAACAGAAAATTATTGATTAATCAAATAATGTCGACAAAAAGAATATTTTCTTAACATGATCAAATATTTTTGTCGAGCATGTTTCACAACCTTTACAAAATCACCCTTTTAAGTTGTGATAATTTCTTTTAACCACCTTTTTTAACTGTAACGATTTAAAGATTTTGTATAAAGTTAAGTTAGTTCATTTTTAATAACTAAAAAGGTAATGTTTATTTTAATGTTTAATTTACCTACAGTAATAACTCAAAAATGTTTTTTTGAGTCGTGTCACTTTTGAAGTAAAGGATATGTTTCGAATTTTCGTACTTGGACTAATTGTAAAACAAAAAATATTATTTGAGAAACAGTTTCATTTAAAATTTACATGACATTTAAATTTTCATTTAAAATTTATGTAACATATAAAATTTATATACTTGTTTAAACAGAGATAATTATTATAACGATATTTACGAGGCTTAACTTTTGAAGTAAGGGAGCGATGTATAAACTGCCCGTTTTCAACTGTTAATATACTTCCTTATTTGCAAAATGACATCTTTGCTCAAGAAGACTATCAATTTATAATATTTTCCTTAATATTACACAGCACTTCGTGATTTATCAAAATTATTCTAGTGTATTATAATTCACCGTCAAATGATTATTTGATTTGACGTCCTCGTATTCGTTACGGACAACAACGCTTACAAGCGTGTTCGAGCATCTGGACAGAATCACAGAGTGCAGTTCCGACCGACAGCCGCGGCGGACGCCTGTCTAGTCGATGTACTTCGATTTGACGATTACTCCGTTTCTCGAGCTTGAATTGGAAAAGCGGCGCGTCTATTTCTTCCCAAGGTCAAAGACGTTAGACGATTACGAATTTATCGTCATTCGCGTAAAGCCGTCTCGTCGAAAATGAGACACGTCGGAGCGAATATTGCGATGCCTGTTAACATTAACTCCGTACGCGCACTCACGCGAATAAAATTCGCGCGCGTCAAAAAAAATCGTGTGTCGCTCCGTGACTACCGCGACACTCGAAACAGGCGGAAGCGTATCGCTGTCTCCAGCGTGAAATTCGGAGTCTCTCGACAGGCCGTCGCGGATGTCGGTCAATCTGTCTGTAACGCGCGGCCGGCTGACGCGGCGTCAACCCTTTTCTATCTTTTTCTCTCTATTTTTTTTTACAACGAACTCACCTGCTACGAAGTCGATTGAATCACTCCATAATGTCACTGTCAACGGCTGACTTCGGTCTCGGAAGATCGTCCCCTCCGGGAGTTCTGGATAGCCTGAATACAAGACACAAACACCATCAGCACGTACGCTCGAGCGTAAGAAGTAATTCGCGACGCGATTCGGAAAGCGACACGGCGAGAAGAGAAAAAAAAAAGAAGGAACACGAGTATAGAGAGAAAAAGATAGATAGAACAGAGAGCGACGAACGTTACACGTCCGGTTTCGCGTCCGCGCGTGCACTGACTTCTGCTCTGTCTGTTCAGGCGCGCCAGCCCGCAGTCCATCCACCTTGGGCCACTGTAGACTCGTCGCTAGGTTGCCATGGCGACCGGTCAACAGCACGCGCAGTCGGCGCAAGCGAGACGCCGTCACGCGGTTGTCGACGGGGGTGGAGGGGCCGTGACAAGAGAGAAATTTCCACGTTTTGTAGAAAATTCCTTTGAAACAAGTGGAAACATATAATGAAATCACATCGCGACATCAATAGCAACAAGAAAATACGTATTATACATTTAAAACGTATTATGACAGAAAAATCTCTCTCTCTCTCTCCCTCTCCCCTCTTCGCTCGCTCCCTCCCTTCTCTCTCTCTCTCTCTCTCTCTCTCTCTCTCTTTCTCTCTCTCACACACACATCCCCGCGAAAATACGTAACTAGAGACACCAAAATACAGTTAATACAACTAATAATATCGAGAGAAATTAAAATCAGAATGATGCTGTTGAATGTACAGTATAATAAAATATATCAACATAAATTGGTTAAAATTATTAAAAGCATAAAAAGCTCGCTTTAACAATTTATAATTAGCGTTGGATTTTAGGGAATAAAATTCTATCGCGCGGTGTATTTTAACATCAAACGTATTTTTAATTTTTTAAACGCTTTTCTCTGTATTGTACAGCAAATAAAATTAAAATTAGAATTCTATTGTGAATTAATACTGAATTATTACAAATTATAGGTTCTCTAAATTAACTAAAATGAAATTTGCAATAAGAAAATTTACAGAAACTGGAAAATGTTAATTCTTTGTGTTAATTAAGTAAGCCGCAACAATTCTTCTAATGACAGAAAAATAAGATTCAGCAAATTCGTGGATATGTATGTAACTGTTTCTTTCACAACGCAAAAAATACGTTATAATTAATAAAAATAAATATCAATACAGGTAATGATTTGTATACGATTATAAATTGAATATTTTCGTGTATTTCTCGGACACGTATGTGTATCGCAATGATCAGCAATTATTATTTTATTATTCTCATCGCGATCGAGTTTGCAATTCATTTTTTAGATCGCATTTGCATCTCCATTTTCTGCGCATTTCAATCGACACAAAGTAGGAAAGTATAGAAAATCAATAATGCAGTTTAATAACTTTCTCATGCGCCAGGCTGAAAAAAAATTCGGATATTTCGACATTTCACCGTATGTAGGTATCTGGAGAGTTAATAACGACCGCACGTTGAAAAGGATTGTCGAATCTCGACGATGCGATGGCCGAGGCCATCAAATAAGCTGATGCTGCAGAAACGTATTCGCGGAATACGTAAGCTTTTCATCAACGCGACAGGTTTTCTGTGATCAGCGCATCATTATTTTAATCTTTTCTCACACATACGCTTGTTTCACGTGAAAATAATTCGAGAAAGTCAGTAGAATAATTCCTAATGTCTATAATGAATTATTATAGAAGATAAAATAAATATATTTTCAATGATTGAAGACTTAAAATAAAAATGCAGCCGAGTACCAAAAAATAAAGTTAACAAAAATGAAGTTAACGATCGAAAAAAATGCAAACGGCCCTCCATGTACAAGAAACATTATTTACCTCAAAACTGTATTTCCGCGTAACTTAGCTTCACTTTTATACGTACAAATTCAATTATCCGTAATTTATCGAGTTCCTAATTTATTAATTAAAGAATTTGCATGCTGAAGGAAATCTCTCGCGACTGAATAAAACGCATAGATAAGACGGCAAACAAGAAAGATGGACGGCAAGAAAGAAAGGAGGGGAAATAAAGAATGAGGCAGAGAATTCCGGACTGGATTATGCGCATCGTGGAAATTAATAAGAGGCACGATGTAAACGTGCACGGTTGAAACGCACCCTCCACGAAGAAAAGGATCGTTAATACCAGGCTTGTTTTACTATTTCCTCCTTTTTTTAATGCCGCTCCACAGGACGTCGATACGATGCGACTACGCGAATACGTGACTTCCAACTCGAGCATCTCATAAATACGAGCAAATTCCCTCAAGTGGAGAGGCGAACGGCTCATTCAACGACGAAAGCGAGGACGAAATATTTACAGTGAATTTTCAAAAATAGAAAAAAACAGACATATATATATACACGTATACACACAAAACTCGAGGGGAGAATTGCGAAATTAATTTACTCGCGGTCATAAGTGAACCATTTATTTCGTACGTTCGCCACATATATACGCCCATGGTGTAGAATGAAGATTTTTTTACCTGCATCATTGCAGGTACGCAAAACGATTTCAATACTTCCGATGCAGAGCTGCAAAATTAATTATGGTTGATTTCGATAATTCATAAAAAGAACAAATAAATCTTTACCTCATGATTTCGTTTAATGGTTTGTTATTCTGCCGCTACCACTATCGCAAATTAGAGTCTATATATAATAACCATAATTTAATGTATAATAATTTTATCCCAATTTAATCTCGATTTAATCGCATTACTATAGTTCCGTAATAAAGTGGCTAATTATTGTCGCGTACATCAATATGATTATTATTTTAATCTCTCGACGATCGATAATTGTGATGCCCGAGTAAAAGCGCGAGTTATTACTTTATAGCAAAAATTACATGAATTATTAAAGCATCCTCGATATATAATGCGCGTTTAGATTCGTGCGTAGAAAAGGATTGCAAAATACGAAATTAGATTTACGAAATACGATTATTCTCCACGAGTCGATTTAGCACGTACCTCGGCTCTACGCATCATGATAACGTAACGTTAACTGTAGAATTTCACTGCAACGCAGCGTGCATTCAAACGTGCCTGTAATCCCGAGTACTGTCGTACTCCAATGTATGGATTACTCTCGATCTATTTTCGAAATTAGGCTAAACTGCAACAACTATCCAGCATAAGCGCACAACCTTACATATAAGTATCGCCACGTGTTCACCCTATTTTTATCCTATCGAATGGTTCGAGAAAGTCTCGCTTTTGTGCGAACGAGTAACAATGCAGGAAAAATGGAAAACGTAGCTCGTTTTACAAATTTCTCTGTAAAGGTTTGCGAAAAGATAATCCTCCAATATTTTCCTTATGCCCGTTTCATACCAATGTAGTTTCATTTTAATCTCGGTTCACACACACAATTAACTCTTCATCTTTTTCTAGTTTCTAGTTTTAAAAATTAGAAAAAAATAAATAATAAGTCGAACTAAAGTTAGAATTACATTGGTAGAAACGTGCATTAATATAGTTCTCAACTATCATCTTTATCAAGTTAATAATTTATGATAAGTGCGTATCCATTAATTAAACACTCAATTATTAGAGTCTTATACTTAATAATACCTTTTTGTGAATTTTCATATCTATGTTTTTGAAGCATACATTGGTTACTATTCAAAAATATTAAGACAAAATATAAAATATGAACAATTTAAAAATATAAAATTTAAAATCATTTTTAAATATCAAAAGTCAGAGAATGACCAAAAATGTCAACATATTTAATCTATGTCATATGCATACATCCTTTGATATTTATCTTATTAAAATATATTAATTAAAATTCATTAATAATATAGATGGTTATCATAATAAAATTAATCATAATAAAAGATTATCGTAATAAAAATGACAATAAAGATACATCAATCAAGATTACATCAGCATAAAAATATAACTCATTAGTTATATTTTTAGCTTCATGTACATAAATAAGTATTATAAAAAAATAAGTAAAGTGTTTGTTATTGATTTTCAACATTAACGTAATTTTCACAATAATTCTAATATTTTTATCATCTAAAAAATCTTCTAAAAACGTACTACCTTCGTACTACCATTCATCTAAGGATTTTCTTTACGCAGGAAATTACACGGGAAATTCGTAAAGTGTTTTATTCAGCATTACGCTGTTCCGAAGTTGATAAATTTTCATTAAGTTCTGATCACTCTTCCTGTTCTAAGATTTTTCAATTTAGCCGTCTTTTTCACTATATAGAAGCCTTCATTTAATCATACAGCAAACAAAATCTCTCTGTGTCACGTTCTATAGCTTGCACGCAGAATCGCGCATATTTTTAACGTTCGCGGTGAAAGAAACATTAGGGAACGAGGCCACACATAAATCTAGTTAAATCTAGGAAAAGCATAGCCAAAGCAATGAAGAAACATGCGCGCAAGCGTTACAACGACTTTTCGTGGTTTATGGATACGCTGGTAACAAAACTACGAAAGTCCATTCAAATCTCTCTCTTTATGCTTTCGCACATCATTTGCCCGGGTTTTCATAACCCTCGACCCTCTCTGGACATTTTACTCGCCGATATGGTTACCTCGGTCTTCCATCAAAGACGAAATCGGGACGTTCGAACTCGGCACAGCCGAATTGCTTGCATCTGCCGCAATATTGGTGGCTTAGAAAATGTCAATAATTCAGTCAGATACGATTATTGAAAATTTTTAGAGACTGCGAAATAAGATAAAATCTGAACTTTTATCCAAGTTATATTCAGAGAGTCGCTTTCTTAGCAAGAATTTAATTTAAAGTTTAATTATCGAGCTATTTAATATTATACATTAAAGGCTGAGAAGTAGGGGAAGATGAGATTATACTGTTAATACTTGGCACAAAGAATCGATATATATCATTAAAATCTACTAAATTAAAATATACCATTCTTCTCGAATTACGAATAAAAGAAAATTTAAATTGATTTATTATAAATTAGCAAGAAATATATAATATGTGTGTATAACAATTTCATCACAACACGCAAATGATTATAGTTATTCAGGAATCTAAAAAAGAGGCAACCATGTGAAATCTCGACATGAAATCCCATCAGAATACACTCTTTATTCGAAAACATGATAGGAGTATCTCTCGAGATGAAAGCGTAAATTCTGTTCGCACGACTGACACACAACCGCGCTAGTGCAATTTGTATCCATAATTTTAATCTCGCGAAAAACGCAAATATCCTTTAGCGCGAG